ATGCAGGGTGTAGACTTCAACTTGAAATATGGTGGAATGCAAGACTGAACTGTTTTATAATTAAGAATCTTACGAATGTTTCCTATTCCTTTGTTGGCAAGTTTAAGGAACCGACGGGTTGAAACGGAATTAGTGCAAATGTCCCAATAACAAAATAACTTCCGTGTTTTCTTTTTCTTGTGTGTATATATAAGACATCACTTCCCATCGAAAAGTTTAGATATCAACCTGGTAAAAGACTCGTGAAACGATTCCATACCCACACTTGTGGGTTAAAAGTTGAAAAAAAAAAAAATCGTGGATTTGCTCAGAATGCAATTGAAAATAATTAATAATCACAGAAATGTATAGGTCGCCACCCTTTAAAGATGTCATACAAAGATAATTAAACAGAGGTATCTGTTGGCTTTAAAAAAAACGACATATTACACCTTAAAATATCTGAAGCAAAGGTGCGTAACTCTTAAACACTCCCATGATTATTTGGAAACTTAGCAGGAAGTTGTTTACAAAATTTTCTCACATTATATATAGTTGCAAAATAGTTAATTAAAGATCACAAGATTTTGAGCCAAATTTAACTAATGCAGAGATATTATTAAAGTATTACAGAAACATGGAAAAGTGTTGTGAAAACATATTTCAGTGGAAGGATAAAATAGTTATTGGGTATTATATAATATATGATATTGTGTAGAACGTGATAAAAATCAAACTTGTATCTTTTTAGCTCACCCGAGCCAAAGGCTAAAGTGAGCTCTTATGATCGAGGGGTCTGGAGTCCGTCTGTCGTGTGTCGTCAGAAAACTTTTCATATTTTCGACTTCTTCTCAAGAACCATTGGGCCAATTTCAACGAAACTTCTCACCAATCATCCTTGTGTGAAAGGGATTTAAATTTATTCAAATGAAGGACCACGCCCCCTTTCAAGGGGAGATGCTAGTAATACAGAATTAGTAAAAATTTAATGGCATCTTTTTCTATTTCTGATAACCACTATGCCAGAAGAGATTAAACTTATGTGAAAGCTTCATTATATAGTGAAGATTCGACTTCGTTCAAATCATGACCCCGGACAAGGACTGGGCCAAAATGGGCGATCAAAGTTTTACATAGGAATATATAGGATGAATCTTTTACAAATCTTCTTCTCAACAACAGGAAGCCCATGATTAGTCATATTTATATGGAAGCATCCTCAGGTAGTGTGGATTTCATTTTGTTCAAATCAAGACACCTGGGACTAGGATGGGGCCCACAATGGGCGATCAAAATTTTACATAAGAATACATAGGGAAAATCTTTAAAAATCTTCTCCTTAAGAACAACAAAGCCAGGATTGATCATATTTATATGGAAGCATCCTGAGCTAGTGTAGATTTAAATTTGTTCAAAGCATGACCCCCAGGGATAGGGTGGGGCCACAGTGGGCAATCAAAGTTTTACATAGGAATATACATGTATAGGAAGAATCTTTAAATTCTTCTTCTCAAAAACAGAAAACCATAATTAGTCATATTTGTATAAAAGCATCCTCAAGCTGAATAGATTCAAGTATTTTCAAATCATGACCCCTGGGCTGGGGTGGAGCCACAATTGACAATCGAATTTTTAAATAGGGATAAACATGTATATGAAAAATCTTTAAAAATCTTCTCCTTAAGAACAGGAAAGTCGGGATTAGTTATATTTATATAGAAGCATCCCTAGGTAGTGTAGATTCAAGTTTGTTCAAATCATGACCCCCCGGGGGGAGGATGGTGCCACAATGGGCGTTAAACTTTTAACATAAGAATATATAGGGAAGATCTTTTAAATTCTTCTCCTCAAGAACAGCAAAAGCCATGTTTTGTAATATTAATATGGAGGCATCCTCAGGTAGTGAAGATTCAACCTTATTCAAATCATGACCCCGAGGGTTGGGTGGGGCCACAATAAAAGATCAAACTTTTTCATGGGAATAAATAAGAGAAAATCTTTAAAAATCTTTTAAAGCCATGATTAGTCATGTAAATATGGGAGTATTTTCAGTTAGTGCAGATTCAAGTTTATTCAAATCTTGACCTCCTCCCCTGCCACTCCTTGGGTAGGGTGGGAGCATTTTTCAATACTGATTTTTTTTTTCTCTGTAACCAAAGTGTTCAGGTGAGCAATGTGGCCTTTGGGCCTCTGGTTTATCTTCATTTTCTTGACGTGTCTTTATTTATTTATTTATTATAAATAGCACAATTAACTGTCAAATATTTACGTTTTATATGTACATGTACTTTATTTCATTATAAAGAAAGTGCACTGTGTGAATGTGTGTTAGTGTGGTGGTGATTTTTAATTTCTTTTGGTTTTTTTTTTTGGTTGTTTTTTGGTGTTTTTTTTTTTGTTGTTGTTTTGTTGTTGTTTTTTTTTTTTTGTTGTTTTGTTTTGTTTTGTTTTTTTTTTTGTCAAATTTTTGCATTTTAATAAAAATATTTATTCATGAATAATGTTAACAAGGGTAATTGCTAGCATCTCGATCTAAAACAAAAAAAAATCACTCAACCTGATGCATCGAAAAAAGGGGGCGGTTTTTTGGTCAAGCTATATTATTTAAGAGGGAATCTTTAAGCCTTTAATGGTTTTAATGTAATTTTTGAGGTGTTACTACAGATTCCACTACATTTTATTTTTTTCTGTATATTCTTACTTAAAATATAAAACTTTGAGCAGGTGGTTTTAATTAAAAACAAACTGAGGTGAGGGTGCATGGGGGTATTCCTTTTAGATCTTGCATTATGCCGAGAAATTAATAGCACTTTCGATTGGTCTAGATCTGAGGTGAATTCTCAATAAAAGCGCACTTAACTTTGAGTGTTGGATCCTAAAGTTTACAGGTTTTAAATTAAAACGAGAAGTTTTAACTTATTGTTCAGAGAACAGTTGGATTCTAACGTACCCTTATCATATTTGCTTAAAAACAAGAAGAAAAAAAAAGAAAGTTATAAGTACGATCGAACCTGCGACACTTAAATTTTCTTCCGTTAGAGGTTGAAAGTTGTGTGGAGAGAAAATTAGCTTTTGGAGACAGGATCGACTCGTGTACATGTATAATAAAAAATGCTGATTCTCGAACAAACCTCTTATACTTATTTGTATATTTATTTTATTTTCCACAGATTGATCCAAATAGGCTTTCGTATTATATTGCTTTCAATAACCAGCATATAATCTAAAGTAATACTATTAGGTGTAACAGATTCGCTAATGCGGAAGAACAAGCTAGATTCAAGAAGGAATATCATGTGCTGATCAAATTTTCACACTCACAAATAGAACAGATCTTCCGTGTACATCAATTTCACCAAACCTTTGATAGAGTTAATCGTCGGCCACTATGGAATCCCAGATTAAATCTATCATGAAGGTGTTGTATACTGCATTCAATAGTTTTCAAAGGTAAGTCTGTGGATATCAGGTCCAACGGACGAGATCGAACTTCAAACGGGGGTAAGACAAGGTTGTTTACTTTCACCTCTCCTCTTTATCTTGTTTTTAGACTGGGTTATGAGAGAACTACCAGAGACAAAAAAGTTGGATCAACTGGACTTTGACAGGGATACTAAAAAACTTACATTTTGCAGATGATATCATATTGTCTCATCGCCATCAAAAATAAAACAAATTCAAATGATAGCTTTCTTCTGCACTCGATGTAGCAGGAAACGCAGAAAGTCATGTAAAAGCCCATACAAAAGCAACAGTAGCACTTGCGTCAGTAAATAACATAATTATGGAGATTCCAACAAGATCAACGCAAACATCAAACTAAGAATCTTTAACCAGTTAACAGCAATGTGTGAGGAGTCTTGTGCAGAATCTTGGAAGAAAAAAAGTATATCCCCAGCAAGCTAGCTATGTTCCGGACGAGATGACTCCGCAGAATTTCAAAAATCTCAAACACAGGGTTACTCTTATTTAAGTAATAAAATTCTTCTTTGTTTATACAGGGATGAACGGTTGCAACATTGCAGGAAAAATACATAGCCCGCGTAAGCGGATTATGCATTTTTTTCTGCAATGTTGTTTGGAAATTGTCATTCAAAGCCTCCCTCCCCCTTTCTTTCTTGCTGAATGGTCAAATCCTCACACATTATTTTACCCAACAATTCGTCTACCCAAAATGAGCCCCCCATCCCACCCCCACCCCCTTTCTCCCCCGCTTTTGAAAAACGATGCTATTTCGCTCTCTTCCATTAGGCAACGATAAAAGTTCACATCTTCTGACATTTTGGTCGACTCGTTTCATTGGCAATATTTATAAAATAATACTTTTTCCCCTAACTTTTTGCAAGTGTTTATATAGCCCTTAACAAATTAGCCTCCTGTTGATTTTACACGCAACATAGCGCGCATCGTCTTTTTTCAAGTTAACGGTACCGGCAAGTTTAATCTCTTGCGACTAATTTACTACATTCAACAATCATCTGGTAATTTTCTTTTTAAAAACATCAAGTGAATTATCAAAGTCCACTTTGTAGATTTCATGTGTCTCCATCGAAAGCTGGTTACATTTTGTGTTGTTTCAAACAGTACATTCTACAAACTGCATTATACACTATATTGATCACACACGAATCAAGGAATTTTTTTCCAGGGGGGTCCAACCCACCCACCCACCCCCTCCAAAAAAAAAATCGAAACCCGGTAATTTTTTGACAAGCACAAAAAATCGTAAACTCCTTTCCCAAACTAGAAAAAACCTATTTCGTGTGTGTGTGGGGGGGGGGGGGGTCGCTTTCCTTCACTACTAAAGCTTCATATTATGACACTTTTTACCAACTTAACAGATGTCTGCGTTTTCTAGGGGGGACAAAGGTCATTTTTTACTTCCTTTACTATGTAAATTTAATAACTTTGCAAAATCCGGGGGGGGGGGGGGGGGGTCTGCCCCCTCTAGAGCTGCATGGATAGGACAAACATTTATAAATCTCTCTGGAATCGATGCTGTGTCCAGGAAAAGACAAGTATGTTAAGGACAAAGTTTATTAAGATTGAGACACTTCTACCCACGGATAAATCAAATGTCCTTTGACAAGATCACCAATCAATTTGCTCCAATGGTAATGTTGACTGGCAGCATTTCGAAACGGGTTTTCACTTCTCCTAAGCAGTTTTCCAAATGGCATCTGTATTATCTGTAGGAAGATGTGATACATGATAGAGACAATCTTATACATTGTACGGACGATTTTAAGGTATTCAATGTATAACGACCGTATTTTGTAACTAATAAATGAATGGCACGACATCTTTTAATCATGGTAGCATTTTGAAGGTGTTATCAAATAAAAATACTCCGCCAAAGGAATTTTCAAAATTTTCATTCTTGTCCAATCAATTGCACCTTGAAATTTACATTGAAGTCTATGGACAGCGTATGTGTTACAAAGATAATGTAAAAATTAATTTGCGCTTCATATAAATCTCTTGGGGAAAAAATGCATAAACTCTCTATTTAAAATGTAAAATAAAATGAATCTTTTAACAAGGGCGGATAACTCTTCAAAAACATTAAGGTTCAAAATGGCTTGCTTCTTATATGTTATCAGTCATGTAAATTTGGTTCATTTCACTTCCATCAGTATCTAGCAATACACATTTTAACTAGTTTAAAAATGATTCAATGTTGTTCAATATCCCTTCATTACACATTGAATACATTAAAGAAAACTGAATAAAAATATTTGAATAGCTCAAGGAAAAGAGAAATCTCAAGTATTTGTATCAGAAAAATACTTGTTATGTATGGCCAAAAATGTTTAATTACTAAAAATGTTATTGTGCATATAGCTACATAGGACTAAAAGAAGGTAGAAAGACCACATAAAAATACTTTAAAGAAACATATAGTTTAAGCATCCCCCTCCTTTGCTCAACCCATATAAAAATAGTTTTGGACTGGAAAATGTAAATGTGTAAAAATAAATAAATAAATAAATAAATAAATAAATAAATAAATAAATAATAACAATTAAAAAGAAAAAAACTACTGGGAATATTCAAAATTGCACAAACATGCATGATAAATGAATTCTACTTTCACAATTATAAACTTACTTGCAATGAAAATGTTGATGACTCATCCCTTTTACTGTGGGGAATAATACTGAAAAGGATATCCCCTGAAGAAAAAAAACAAACAAACAAAACAAAAACAACTTCATATTGAAGAATAGACACAAATATTTGTAATTCATGTACAAATTGTCAATGTAAAACACATACCCTTTATAAATCTAGAATTTATACACCACATCCCAACTGAAAATAGTGGCAAAGAGTCCAATGATTGTATGATTTTATCATTGAGTTCATGGACTAACAGAACAACAAGTCGAAGCTGAAAGATAAGAAAAAAAATTTTCATTTTTTGTTTTTTCCAGACCACACTGCAATCTTATGAGTTCAATGTTTTTGTTCAACAAAACATGCCACATTAAAAACAAGGCTAGGGAATATAATTTGGATGATTCTCAATAGTTAACAGTATACACTTATTTCATGACTACGAGGGGAACAGTCAAACTGTTGTCCCGAGGTAATGGGGAAGACCTGGGAAACTGTTGCCCGAGGCCGAAGGCCGAGGGCGACAGTTTCCCAGGTCTTCCCCATTATCGAGGGACAACAGTTTGACTGTTTCCCGAGTTGTCATGAAATAAGTGTTTTATTACTTAACCTACTATATAATTTCTTAAAGTAATGATATCGACATAATAATCAATGGCTTTTAAAATACATTGACAAAAGTTTGTATTATTTTTTAAAACCAGACTAAACAAGATGAATATTAATCAAATATTCACACTGATTGGTGTAAAATCAGAAAAATTAATGGGTGTGATATTATCATGCACTAATAAATTGGAAAAAAAAGCATGTAGTAAACAACATAATGATGTCTTAAAGATTTGAATATTGCACGTTTATGGCAAAGATCTATACTGAATGAAAGGGGCCTACATTTTTCCCAAACTACCCTCAGAAAAGGTGTTCATGGCCTCTTATTTGAAATGATATTAAATTGAATATATATTTAAATTGGTATCAGGTTTACTTTTCAGATGATAATTTCAAATTGAATAAAAATGCTTCAATTTATATATAATTCAATATTATAGCTGTAAAGTACGGGAAATTAACTATGACGTCATAATGGAACAGTTCAGCCATGCAACAGATCATTCTGTGACCGGGTCATCAGTTTTGACTGTTTCATGATTTGCAAAAACATTAAAAAAGAATCAGGAAACAGTTCAAAATGCCTAATTACAATTTATATAGTAGGTTAGGTAATAATTAAACATAATTGATGGGGCATGTTTTAAATTTCAGATTTATTTTAAATGATAGGTTAAAAGGAAGCTAGGTCAAGGAATTTGCTCATTAACAAGTGGAAATTCCTCATTTACTGTATTAAGGTTCATCATCACTCTGTTGACCAATATAAAATTTTTTGATTTCAGTTATAATTAAGATTTTGTTTGGAAAAATCATTATTATTAAATAAAGAAAAAAAAAATAAATCTAAATTATTTTTGAAATATATATTTGCATTGCAAAATTTAAAAGAAGTTGCTTTTAAACTTGACAATTTTTAATGGGAAAATTGGTCATTTATCTCAGCAAGAGTTACCTCTCTTATCAGAGGGTTAATGATTCTTTAATTTTCGTCATTTTTCAGGTATACATGTATATCGCTATTAAAAAAATGCAATCCAGTATGTATAACAAAGTAACAATTTATATGTTAAGTGTCTCATATATGTGTATAAAACTGAGGCTTCCTGTTTTCAAAACAGAAAAAATAATAAATAATCTGTATTAAATGAAAAAAGGAGAAAAAAAATAGAAATTTCTTCAAATTATTGTAATCAATGCTCTCTTTTGGTCTCTATATAGGCTATAATTTAAAATTTTGATGACAAACTATAACAAATGTAACTCTATTTTGATAGTTATGTGAAAAGGGGGGGGGGGGGGGGCATTCCCATATCTGGTGCTTAAAATCTTGGATCTGTATACATACCATTGTGAAAACAACATAATACAAAGCACATGTTGGAAGAGTGAAGAGAAGAATGGTGAAAAGAAGGGTTCCAAGAAAAAGTTGATCTACATCGTAGCGGACGGAATCCAATCGTTGACGCAACACATTCCATTTCTTTCCTCGAAATAAACGCCAAAAGGCAGACAAAGCATACACTTGGAATCGATACAGTCTAAAAATTGAAAGGATACATATATATTATTTCCAAACAAAAAAAGACCTTTAAGAATAAATACTGTGTCAATGTTATCATTGCGGTTGGGAGAGGGAATTAGATGCAAATTGATATCATATTTCCCCTTCATAATTTTATTCATTTCTTTAGGCAATTAAACAATAATATTGATAATTAATAACATATTTTTACTAAAATATTATAAATTACTTATCCTTAAAAATTAAGGTATTCTCCTAACCTTGCAGCATAAACATAAAAGCAGTATATATGTAAAGTCATCATGGATATCACATCTCGAAGGAAGCACAGCTGTGCAGTTATCCCTAACAATCCCAATAGTGAGGAATACCATAGCATGCTACTGAGAACTGGCTGTAGAACCCCTAAGTAACCTAGGAAGACAACACAAATGAATCATTTACAAATGGTTTCTCACCCCCCCCCCCCCCCCCCCAAAAAAAAATTATGCTTCACACAATATAGCCACCAAAATTGAGGAAATACACTAAATAGTAGCCATAGAAACTCGTTCAAAGGAATCTCACCTTTCCACAGGTAAATATGGTAGAGGAAGAAATGACCTAAAAATTCTGTCAGCTGTTTGTTTAATTTAAGACCCGCTGGGGCCCCCATCAACCACTCCACCAGAGAATTAAGGTTTTCTGCTACTTCCTGTTTTTAGAAAGAGTTATACCTTGGTAGAAACCATTTTCAGTTATTAAAGGCTGAAAATGGTTTTGAATTATTTTACAACCAAATCTTCTGAAGCATGGAAATGGGTTCAAATCTGAGAAAATTTATATCACCGTAAAACAATGAACAAAATTCAACCAATGAGGACCTTTCTCTACATGTAGTTGTGGACCATCAATTTACCTAACACAGGGCTGGATATTTACAACCAGCTCATCTTTCTATCTGAAGGAAATGGGGAGGTTTCATTTTTTGCTCTCTGGATAACTGGTAAACAATTTTTGTTTTACAAAATTCATTCAGAAACAAACATCACATTTCCAAATTTTGATGTATTTTACTGAAATTCTTCTTCAAAATATAGCAAACAAATACATTTAATGCATAAACATTTGTAAATAAAAATCTACCAAAAATTCTCTCTTATTTGTTTGATAATCTACAGTACAATTTTTTTTCCATGTTGAATTCTCTGATTTTGTTTCTATAATATCTTACATAAGCCCAAGTGATTATAAGTGCTGCTACTTGATCTGTCATATTGTAGTAGATGAAGAAATAGGTTAATGTAATCCCCAACACACAGTCCAGCAACTGTCTACAACACACATTTACTAACCTGAAAGATAAGACAGTTTTTACTAACATAGTTAGACCTTGGAAGGGGGGGATAGGGATTATATTCTGGGAAATTCTAAAAAGGCAATGCAACTCAAGGAAGAAAAACATTTCTAAAGTCTGCTGGAGGAAAAGAAAACAAGAGGCCCATGGGCCACATCACTCACCTGAGCACATTGGCTAGGAAAAAAAGCAAAAATCAGTACAGTATTGAAAAGTTTACAGGGAGGGGGGTGTTGAATTTTAAACTACCTGATGATGCTTTCATATCAATATAACAAATGGCTTTGTTGTTCTTGAGCAGCAGATTTTTTTCCCATATATTCATTTGTAAAAATTTGATCCCCCATTGTGGCCCCACCCTACCCCCGGGGGCCCTCATTTGAACAAATTTCATTCTACACTACCGAAAGATGCCTCCATATCAATTTGACTAATCATGGCTTTTCTGTTCTTGAGAAAAAGACTTTTTCCTATATATTCCTCTGTAAACTTTGATCACCCATTGTGGTCCCAACCTATCCCCGGGGTAATGATTTGAACAAACTTGAATCTTCACTATCTAAAGATGCTTCCATATAAATATGACCAATCATGGCTTTACTGTTCTTAAGAAGAAGATTTTTAAAGATATTTTCCTATATATTTCTATGTAAAACTTTGATCCCCCATTGTGGCGCCACCCTTCCCCCGGGGGTTATTATTTGAACAAATTTGAATCTTCACTACCTGAGGATGCTTCCATATAAATATGACCAATCATGGCTTTACTGTTTTTAGAGATATTTTCCTATATATTTCTATGTAAAACTTTGATCCACCATTGTGGCCCCACCCTACCCCCGGGGGTTATGATTTGAACAAATTTGAATCTTCACTACCTGAGGATGCTTCCATATAAATATGACCAATCATGGCTTTACTGTTTTTAAGAAGAAGATTTTTAGAGATATTTTCCTATATATTTCTATGTAAAACTTGGATCCCCGTTTGTGGCCCCACCCTACCCCGGGGTGGTCATGATTTGAACAAACTTGAATCTACACTACCTGAGGATGCTTCCACAAAAATATGACCAATCATGGCTTTGCTGTTCTTAAGAAGAAAATTTTTAAAGGTTTTTTTCTATATATTTCTATGTAAAACTTGGATCCCCCATTGTGGCCCCACCCTACCCCTGGGGGTCATGATTTGAACAAACTTGAATCTACACTACCTGAGGATGCTTCCATATCAATATGACCAATCTTGGCCTTACCGTTCTTAAGAAGAAGATTTTTAAAGATATTTTCCTATATATTTCTATGTAAAACTTGGATCCCCCATTGTGGCCCCACCCTACCCCCAGGGGTCATGATTTGAACAAACTTGAATCTACACTATCTGAGGATGTTTCCACATAAGTTTCATCTTTCCTGGCCCAGTGGTTCTTGAGAAGAAGATTTTTAAATGATGCCATTATTTTTTCACTAATTCCTAATTATCTCCCCTTGAAAGAGGGCTTGGCCCTTCATTTGAACAAACTTGAATCCCCTTTACCCAAGGATGCTTTGTGGCAAGTTTGGTTGAATTTGGCCCAGTGGTTCTTGAGAAGAAGATGAAAATGTGAAAAGTTTACAACAACAACGCCAACGACAATGCCAACGACGACAGACAACGGACAAATTTTGATCAGAAAAGCTCACTTGAGCCTTTGGCTCAGGTGAGCTAAAAATATGAAAGTGACTTACACACTTGGAAAAAAAAATATAGATCTGATGTTGTAATTTTAAAAATGGACATTTTGAAATTAACTCTTTAGATGTGTTGCTTTGACTTTTCATTCAATCCCAGACAGTAAATGTGTAATAAAACAATAATGGACCTTTCAAGTGGGTTATCAATGGTAATATGGTTAAATATTGAAAAGAAAAAAAATCAATATTGACTGAGGCTTGAAATTTTCATTGTCAATATTAAACAATATCAACCAACTTGAAAGTCTACACTCATAATTGTGTAGTATGATATTACACAATTAAGGACTTCAGTGTAGGTTGATATGTGGTTATAAGGACCCATGTCAAGTGCTGTTGACTTAAGACACAGAAAGTGATAGCGACCAAGTTTGCAAGGTTACTATCATTTTCAGATATAATCACTTCAAATGAATAATTTCACACAGTCCTAGCTGTACATGTAACAGACACGATCATGAAGTCACAATGGTAATAAAACATGCATCTAAATATTATGACATCACAATGTGCTAAGTAACATTTGCTTATTACAGTATAGAAATGGTGAGTTGTGTGATTTCGTATTATAAGCTTTTTTCATAGAAAAGATCTAGAAAACTAACAATTTTACCATGAAACTTCTTTTTTTAATATCATCCATGAATGAAAATATGTAAGCATGTTTAAAAAGTTTTTCAAAAATTTGTTTGAAAATAAATCAATAATTTTCAAAAAAGTTTCAAAAAAAAAAAATACTCACCCTAACTGTGTTCTTAAACTACTGATATTACTATTCCTGACAGCTAGATACTCCTGTCTTCTCAGAGTCTGATGTACTAACAATGAAGAGCAACTTGCTGCAAAACTGAATGGTCTAAATCTGGTAACCCTGTTAAAGATATTTAAAAAATAAATGATTTCATACATGATTTTGATGTCATAGAGAGCGATGATCTGTAGCTACTAGCTAGAAAATTCAGCTCCTCTGGTTTTATTTTCAGGTCTTTCTTTCTCCTCAATCTATTTCATGAATTTGTAACAATTAAGATCTGAAATGGTTAGAATTTCTGCATAATGTTCAGGATCTGAAATTAACCTTTGCAAGCACTACCTTATAATAATTATCAGATTTTTGGTTCAACTAGTGTTTCTTTTCTAGAGCTTTTCAGTAAACTACAAATATCTTGAAATAAATAACACAAAACACAAAAGAAACTCTTCACATTTCAATAACTGAAATAGCTTACATTTCTCTGAAATGTGTCTGAAAACAAACCTGACACCATAAAATTTGATAACCTTTTACCTATTGTCCAGTAAAAATCCAACAATCTGAAAGCAAAACAGCCACAAAATATGTAGTTGGTAGATCAGAGGCATTCTTAAAGTGGGTTCCCTACTATGAATTTCTTTTGTTAGAATGTTCACTGCATTTCCACTGACTGTTGATAAATTATCCCAACTCATAAAGTAAGAATCAGAAAATTGTTGTGCGTCAAAGATCACAAGGTTACAATTTAGAGTCTCAAAGTTTTTGGTCATTTTACAAGAGAGGTTTCCATCACGATTGCAATGCAGATCAATGAAAAGTTCTTTTGTTGGTTTTTGAGATCCTTCTTCATCTGTTCTTGACTCAGTACTAGCTAACTCACTAAACATACCTATTGACTTTTCACATCCTCTTACATTGTAAAACATATCAGAAATGAGGACAAAGCTGTTTTCTTCTATAACTTTTCCAAAGAGATGACAGGAGGATTTGTTTAAAATGTAAGAAGATACAAATACAGTCCACTTCATGTCATCAGTTATTCCTTGTTCTCTCATGACGAACGGAGCGTTAACCTTTGTATTTTGTTTAGTTCATGAATTTATGGTGTCAAGTATTCATTTGTATTCCTTTAAATACATCTTTCTAAATCGCCATTTCTTGTGCCAAAACCGAAAGAAATACAAAATTTCAATAAATTCATATATTAATTGAACATTAAAGACTCCAGACTTGACATCAGCCGACATGCACACGAACCAAAAGTTACTTTCACTTTAACAGTGTATATCGATCCCGATTTTTTACACATGATAATTTAAAAAAAAAAAAAAAAGATTATACACAGGGCAGCTGTTCATGCATGGGTTTAGCATAAAAGTAGAATATGTTAACCAGCTGATAACAAGATTTTTTATTAAATATCAATTGGGATATGTAACATCTTTCAGGAAATTTTAGCATACATCCCTATCCCGATCGGAAGGATAACCAGCGCAACGTGTTCAGTTTGTCATAACAAATTGTCGATACAGTTTACGATTACCCAGGCAAACAAATATTGAATACCTATGTAAGTTTAACGTTATGAATTTTTGGAGACTGATTTAGAATAGGTTCTATATTCTGTATTTCACTCTACCTGTATACAGCTGCATACAGCTGGCATACATGTTCGAATTTTCTCTTCCTAGATTAATCACTTTACTTATTTACTTAAAATCCTTCAATCAAACTTTATATCCCTTATTAGAATGAACACGTATTTAATGTATTGTATGTATTTTTTTAATAAGATTTTATCAATGTACATTGTTCTGGGTCAAATTATGTGTTTCTCATCTACAGAACTTGAAAGAGAATCATTCTTTTTAATAATAAGTTTCCTGTTAATTTTGGTAATTATTTTTTTTTCTCCAGCTGTGATGAAAAATTTTATTGACTATCTTGAACAATGCCTCACCGAATCTGGGTTCAGAGGAACTGTTGCTGCTGTTATGTATGGGACATGTTCTGTCTCCATGGCATTTATAAACAAAGCATTGATGACATCATTTGAATTTGACTACCCGGTCTTCATCATGGTGATGCAGATGCTATTTACTATTACACTCTTGGAGGTTTTATCCTGTGTGAATCTCATTGACATGCCACGATATACCTTACAACGTGGAAAGTCATTTGCATTACCTGCCTTCTTTTATGGAGTGAATTCAGTTTTAGGACTTAGTGCACTAAGTCACATGAATGTTGCCATGTATGGTGTTCTCAAAAGATGTGTTCCTCTTGTGACTATGTTTTTGTCTGTAGCTGTTTTGAGAAAACCTGTTCCAAGCAAAACAACAATTTTATCAGTTATTCTTTTGACTATGGGATGTGTTATAGCTGGTGAGTACTAGACTACCTTACACTCAAAATTCACACAGTGTTAATCGCATTAACTGAAATGCATGTAATAATATATTAAATCTATCAAGATGAACTGAACTTAATTTGAATATGTTTTATGGAGAATGTTTGGGTGATTGCAGTTGTATTTATTACTGAATACCATCAAAAACTAGTTTATGACTTAGACTTTTCACTTTGATACACCTCTGAAAACAGCATGAGACCCAGTCTAGGCTGTCAGACATCACATGATGTTGCATGTCAGCTTTATTTTCATAACAGAGTCCAAAACTCTAAATATAGCAAAATTGTTGACAAAAGGCATTGTAGAGTAGATGTAAGGCAATTATATTTTGTTTCCTTAAAGCTCTACAAGATCTTCACAATAACTGGGGGACTGTTTATTTGCTATTATTGCTTGAAATTGTGGTAGGGAAAAAAATTCTGGGATGGTATCACACAATAATTTGCTTGACAAATTGTATTTTTAGCTCACCTGGGCTAAAAGTTCAAGTGAGCTTTTTGATCACATTTTGTCTGGAGTCCATCTGTCTGCCTGGCTGTTAACTTTTCACATTTCCTACCTCTTCTCAAGAACCACTAGACCAATTTTAACCAAACTTGCCACAAAACTAAAAAAAAGATGGTTGAAATGAAGGTCAATACCCTCTTCCAAGGGGAGATACATGTAATTATTAATAAGAATCAGAGAAAATTTAATGACATCTTTCAAAATCTTCTCAAGAACCACTTGTTCAAAAAAAGATGAAACTTGTGTGAAAGCTTCATTGCATAGTTTAGTTTCAGTTTGTTTATTTTATGATCAGTCATATTAATATGGAAGCATCTTCAGGTAGTGTACATTCAAGTTAGTTCAGATCCCCCCACCCCCACCCCGGGTTAGGTTGGGGCCACAATGAGAAATCAAAATTTTACATAAGAATATGTTGGAAAAATCTTTAAAATTCTTCCTCTAATGAATAGCAAAGCCATTAATAGTCATATTGCTATTCTCAGGTAGTTTATATTCAAGTTTCTTTAGATCAGGGCCCCCAGGAATAGGTTGAGGCTACAGTAGGGGATAAGAATGGCAAGACCATGCTAAATCCTATAAATGAAACCATTTCCAAGTTGTGTTGAATCAGTCTTTTGGTTTAAATTATGAACCCTGGGGTTAGGTTTGGTTTGAAAGGGGGGAAAAAGCATTCCAATGTTGTGTAGATCCAACTTTGATTAAATAAAACTTCCCTAAGGGAGAGATTTGAATCTACAATATTTAATCAAAATGCTAATGAAATTAAATAGGGAATATTTTGGAAAAAAAACTGCTGATGAAAAACAGTAAGGCCAAAGTGACTCAGGTGAGCATTATTGTCCATGGGTCTCTTGTTTTAGTCTATTTCAGTTCAAATTTCCTTTGTTCTTTTAAGTTAGTCTATAGAGCTCTCCAGCACAGCACAGCCCCTCTGTACTGCTTGCTCTGCTCACTATTAGAATTTATCTAAATTGCTGGCATAATGTTTCAACACTTGATGATATTCTTTATATTTATACTCACAGGTTATGGTGATTTGAAGTTTAACTGGCTGGCCTATACTTGTGGAGCCTTAAGTAACCTGTCACAGTCTCTGTATCTCCTCCTTGTACAGAGATACTGTGAGAGGGACATCAGCACGGTGGAAACCCTCCAACTCAACAGCGTCAATACCCTGCCATTTCTAACCATTTACATGTTCCTTAATGGGGAAATATTCATGGTTACAAATTACAGTACAGGAAAGCCTTTGACCTTTTTCATAGTTTTCCTTCTTGCTGTAAGTATGGGCTGTCTTCTAAATTATACCTTATTTCTGTGTACCAGTTTAACATCAGCATTGACTACTAGTGTTGTTGGTGGACTTAAGGCCATGGTGCAGACTTTATTTGGGTTGTTTACTTTTGGAGGCATCAGCCACAACTTTCCTACCTATATTGGCATATCAATGAACTTATCTGGAGGTGTGTGGTATATTTATGAAAAATACTCTGAAGGACAAAGATCTGCTCCTGGATCGCATGTCATGAAGAAAATTACAAGTCTTTCTACAGCTGAAGATTTTCATAGACTTGCGACACTGCAAAAGTCTTTTGGTAACGGCATGAGATCTTCTGGTTTACAATCCATCTCAGAAGAATCTCACCAGAGACATCATTCTCACTCGGATGACACTGTGATATCATTCGAACAATCAGATCCAAGAAGTTAACATCAATAATTAAAATTTGTTTAGGTTGACAATTAGGTCAGTAATTTCTAATGTAGCTAAGCATGTCCATCCTCAGTCTGACTAAAGGCAGCCCCTACTATCATGACTATTTCACTTTACAACAAAGTGAAATAGTAGGGGCTGGCTTTAGTCAGACTGGTCCATCCTCTCTGTACATGCATGTATCCATATGATGTTATTGTAAATGTTTTTTTTTTCTTTTGATTTGACATTTTAATTTATACTTGGGTGTGAGCTGTTTGTCTTCAATACTTCTGCATTCCAAATTATATATATTTTAACTTGTTCCGGTATCTATATTTTTCTAACCCCTTTTTAAACTCTTATTGCCCTTGTAGTGTCTTTTTACTATGCAGTAGATTATTTAAATTTAAATTTTATCATGAAATCCATCCAATATTACAAATCTACATTATGTATAATTTTAAAAAAAATGAACTAAAATATAGTTAAAGATGATTATGATGTGCCATGTTAAGATTTTAAAGTGTGATTGTTACCTGTTATGCAATATCACCTTGTTAACTAACCATTGAATACTAAATATTACTGTAAAATCACATATTTTTGTGGGGTTAAATTTTCATGGTTTGAGGAAAAACTATGGGTTCATGGGGAATTGATTTCATGGATGAAGAACTGTTATGTATATGACATTTTACATTTTGTAGTGGAAATGAATTCTTGGGTCTCTCCATACCCCAAAAAACAACAAAAATTAACCCCCATGAAAATAAGTGATTTCACAGTAATGGAGATTTTTCTTATATATTCAGTGTACTTTCACCTTGACCTCTCAAACTTTGAGATAATACAGTCATGTATATGTACTATGTAGATGATCATGGGTGCTTCTAAGCAGAAATGTTTAATTTTATTATACAAATTTAATTACATGTACCATAAAAAATGCATTTTAGAATTACATAAATTAAAGTTATTTCAAGTCTTATTTTGCTTAAGGTTCCAGTAAAGGCAAATTTTTATTTGTAGAAACCATTGTAACAGTGGTGAAGTTGTTCATCCCTGACGCTTGGCCAAAGGGGTGTTTTACTGTATATAATATCAAAGTTGATTTTAGGGAATCAAATATCAATTTTTGATTTGCTGTAAGCTTGCATTTTTCCAACACAACAAAGTATAGAGTTTATGTCTCATTCGATTGATCATTAGGGAAATCCTTCATGTATACAGGGTATATGTAGCACTGTAGTGTTAGTACTGTAGTGTTAGTACTGTAGTGTTAGTACTGAAGTCCAAGGCATATACATGACACTAGCAATTATAGTGTAAGTGCTGTAGTCAAATTCATGGAATTAAGCTACTGTTGCTGAATGTCAATTTCAGTATTCCAGCAGATCAATATTTTCCATATGTTATCCAAACTAAATGTGTAATTTTATTTTAGGCTTGAAATGTATAATTTATAAACATTACAGGAAAATTCAGGGAATGCTATTTGCATTGAACTGTAACTTCATCTTCAAAGTTATATAGGGGCATTGTACATTGTATCTATTTATTATCAAAGATATGAATTTTTCTACCTGGCAGTCACATTAAACTATGAAATGAGGAAACAAACACAGATGACAAAGGTAATTAGCAAAAGAACAAATGTTAGCAGCTGGTGTCAATATTTTACAACTGGGAAAATTACAATTGATTCTTCTGTAATTTATCTTGTGTGACAAATAAAATACTGATAAAATTCAACATGCCTTATTTCAATTAAGTTTAGTAGGGCTTAATCAGACTGTAAGCAGTAAGGAGAACTAGTGCTTCAGACGATCTTCAGTATATTTGTCTATAAACACTATCTGAATGTAAGTTACACCTAATAATTCTAGGACATCAAACACTTCCCCATATACAGGGGATAGGATATGTATCATATCGCTCAGAAAATTGCAAATTAGAGCACATCTCCGTATGAAAGACCACTTACAGATCAGGAAAGGCCAACTGCATGGAGGGATGACTGTGTACTCTTGAGCACTATTTTGTTGCTATTTAACAAATGAATTTTAATTTTTAAAATGCATGATGTCATGAACTCCGACGGTTCACGCCGTCATATTTTATAAAGCGCGTTAGTTATCTGGATCATAGGCACTCCCCAGCTTAATTGTTAAAAAAAAAATATATATACTATACTATTTATAGTATAGTAGATATATATTTCTTAACAATTAAGCGGGGTGTTTATAGTATAGTAGATTTATATTTTTTAACAATTAAGCTGGGGAGTGCCTATGATCTGGATGACTATAGCCACAAAAAATGTCATTTAACGATTATTTTATGAAAAAGAATTATTGCACTATATTTTTCAGGTACGGAGATATATTCATGCTCATCCTGCGATTTCATAAGGAAATAAATTGTATTCATATTTGTCAAGAATCTTTAGGGAAAATTATTAGAATTGTTAACATTAAAGATTGATGCTAGTGACAAATTTAAGTGTAAAGGCATGCAGATGATTTGGGTTCACACCCAGATCCAACTTGTTTTATAACTGGTATCATAAGCCATGTGACTGACAACATTCTTTATTTTATATAACTCTATACTAAAAAAAAAGTCTAACATTTCCAGTGTGTTATTGAGTGGTAAAAAAAATTGATGTTGGACAGCTTGGTGAGATGTTGGACCTATCGATAATATGTTGGACCGCTAGCTGTGACGTTTTTCACGTCACGCTGTAGGAGGGATCAACTATATCTTAGTTGCGACAGTTATGGAATTGACCGAGTTATAATCCGCAGTGCGGGTTAAAATAATAAAATTTTGAATCTGGTCTAACTTAACATCTCCAAATGTTTGAACTCTGTGCTGCAATATCCAGACATAACTTCAAGAATTTATCTATGAACAGTTGTTTTCAGGACTGCAGAAGCGTTTCACATTGGAATCGTATCTCATTCCACAGAAATTGTATGTCGCAAAACATGTTACAACGTTCTGAACAATTTGTAGGAAAACTCGAGAAGAAGGCGTCTGTTTGCATTGATTCTGAAAAGATATGTCCATTAGACAACTAGATACAACTTTATATATAAATGTTTCGCTACGTTAATTAACTGTCCATAATCTATGATAACCTTTGTTTAATGTTCTTTTTCCACTGTCTGGTTATTCTTGGATTCTAACCTTATTTTTTTTTATTGGCGGGAGGTCTAAAGAATCTTTTATATTGATGATTAATTTCATATTTCTTTTTTTTATTATTCGGAATAATACTTTTCCCAGCTTTAAATTCTTTTTTCTGAGTTTATTAAAAATTTATTTTTGGAATTTTCTATTTAACAGGGTTCTTTTCTTGATGATTAACTGATCTTTTGTATGATGTACCGTTTTCAAACGATATTCCCGTGAATTGACACCGACTACTAAGTACTAAAATTTCTAATTACTAAATTATGATTTAGTTCCTGATCATCTTTGCGATATTAGAATACCTATCGATATGCAATGCAATGCCTCTGCTTATAAAACAAGAAAGACGAAGATAGCTTTCAATACAAATCTGGCTCTGATCTTTTCTACAGTATACCTGCATAATTCGTTATATTACTTCATTTGACTTTTCCCAAATTTCTGGCCTGTCATAAAATAGAGATAGTAACTAAGCATCTTGATAGAGCTAAATGGGATAATATAAATTTATCGTTCAGCGTTTATATGAAAAAAAGTCTCATACTGTGGCCTTCAGTTGAATATTCAGATATATCGACGACGTATATTAATTAACAATTTTCATTTTCATTCCTACGTTGATTCGATAGATCTCTTTGAACACGAAATAAAAGATACCACAGAGTCTGAAACATCTGTTTTATATTTGGATATTTTACTAGAAAAAGACTTTAATGTTAACTTAATTTTAAAACTTTATGACAAACGTGTTGACTTCAACTTTTCTGTCGTCAACGTCCCTTATTTATGTAATAGTACCTGCTATGTATTACCACCTGCATATGAGTTTACGTCTCCCAGTTGATACGCAAGAGCATGCTCTACTTACGAACAATTTCTAAAAAGAGACAAGCTAATGAAAAATAAGTTGATGAAACAAGAATATCAACAGTCTCGTTTAAAGTCAACATTTTGCAAATTCTATGGTCGATATAAGGACCTTGTCAGCAAATACAATCTATTATGAAGTCGAAGGTTGACAGGCGTTTTTTATACAAATTAGGCCATTATTTTCACTGAATTGTCTACGGATTTTTCAGTTTTCCTGATCATGACAAAAAGCACACGACGGATGTGACCGGTCGTCAGGAGATGCTTACTCCTCTATGGCACCTGATCCCACCTCTGATGGTTTTAGAGGTCCATGTTTGCTCTGCTCCAAATCTGTATTGTTTCAATGGAGTTTTGAGTTTGATTACTGTTCGTTATCTCCATATATCTCATTTTAAAGTAGTCCTGTTATAATAATTATCAATCATATCCTGGGCAAACATTGCTATTCTCTGCTCCTTACACAGGTGCTAGTGGACATAGCTCACATAGGCAAGTATTCCTTACCCTCAGCTTTCATGTATCAGGTGCTAATGAGCATGTTTCATGCTAGTGGACATAGCTCATATAGGCAAGCATTCCTTGCCCTCAGCCTTCATGTATCAGGTGCTAGTGAGCTGTTTCACATAGGCAAGTTTCACTTGCCTTCAACCTGCAGTTTATCCCATTCCACAGAGTAATGTCTGTCTTTTGCCAGTCATAACTGAATTGTTCAAATTCCATATAGTAAGATAATACCGGAGGTACATATGACTTCCCAAATGCTAATTGTGGTGTCATGAATTTGTGCATTTCATCGTATTTTCTTAAGAAGTTGCAGAAAACATCAACTTTCAGTGCATGGCCGTAGGAACCGGGGGGGGGGGGGCACGGGGGGCGTGCCCCCCAATAATTTTGCCGATATATAGATTACTATAGTAAATATAGATAGTATATGCTTGTACCCCCTCAATAAAAACGTCTGATGTGCCCCCCCCCCCCAACTGAATTTGCTTCCTACGGGCCTGCAGTGGAATTTTCTTTCAGACAATATAGACATTTGCATCGCCCACAAAGATTTATGACATGAGATTTTTCAAAGATTTTACGCAACATATCCCAAAATTGAAGCGAGCTTCGACTGTGGTCTCTAATTTTAAAGGAAAACCAATCTCCTATGCAGAGTTGTCTTTCGTTCCTCTCTCAAACACCTCTAGCTAGGTTTCTGACATTTATAAAGTAAAAAAAAAAGATATTCCAAGGAATATTTCAAATTGAATTAATAGTTTTAGATCTATTTAGTACATATCAGCTATTAGCGGAAGCATTGTAATGAATTAAAACAAACGCACTTTTTCTCGTGCTTATCACTGTGGTCTTTCTTTATACAATACTAGATGAAATCCCGCGCAAGCGCGGGGAATTGAATTTATACCACTACCGACAGAAAATATATTGTAGTTCTCTACTGACAGCCTACAGGCTTATAGCAGGAACAAATACTTTGTTCAAATTCCCAATGAAGTAGATTTACCTATCCAATCCACCCATCCCCCCAAACCTCCCGTTTTTTTTGTGTTTGTTTTATTTGTTTTATTTTTTTTTAAAAAATAGCAATTTCATTAATTGACGTTTATTGTGAGACCTGTTATACTATGTTATGGATATTGTGCTTCAGATGCTCTTATTTCATTTCCGTCTAGGATAAAAGCGACGAATATGCACATTTTACTGATAAATTGATTGGGGGTGGGTGGGGGGGGGGGAGGGGGGAATTCACAGGTACTTGGGTCTTGGTTTATAAATATGTTTGTACCTTATTGATATGTAAAAATGTACTTTACTTTTTTACCTTTTTTACCTATCAATAAGGTACATACATATCTATAAACCAAGAACCAAGTACCTGTGTAAAAATTAGCTTTTAACGCCCTATGAATAGGCTCAGTATTTGATACAAAAGACTAAGCTGCAACAATGTAGCCCTCTCCTATTTTTTTTTTGTTTTTTGGATCTGATATTTTCTGGCCTCTCTGTCTGCCCCCCTCCCCCCCCCCTCAAAAAAGGAGAGGGCTACATTATTGCAGCTATAAAAGATTGTATTCAGAAATTAATTGTGCATTGATTAAAGCGCAAATTTTTACATCTTTAATTGTATTGAACAATACCTTATTCATTAATTTTCTCTTTTCATATAAGCAAGTTTATTACGAAGTACAAATTGTACTTCGGGTTCGTTGCCACGATGCTCTCAGTAAGGAATATATACAAATTTTACCGATAAATTTATTAGGAAAACCTACTATATACATGTATATGTAATAGTCTTTCGATATAATTATATTCACAACTTATAGTGTTATCAGTGATTTACCGTTATTTCAATTATGACCATTTACACAAAAGCTTTTTTTTATGGTCATGTAGCTATCATCGCCTCATTTTTTTTTCTTAACATCGGGCTCGATGCTATATGATGTTCTAGAAGCTTCCGTCAATATAAAGATCGGCGAATGACGAAAATATTTTGCACATTTCCCTTTTTTAATCGGTTATCACAACTTATATCTTTTATATCATTTAAATCGAGTTTTGATTGAATAATTCAGTGATGACGTTTCATGTAATAAATAAACGATTGCTTGTTGTCAGTTTCATTAATAATTGCCAGTAACTTAGATCCGCCAACCGGAAACGCCACCGTACTCACGTTTTAGCTATTTCATGGCTGTTTATAGAAAATGAAAGTGGACTTTTAATTTAATGTACGATACTTACTATGCGAGTGAAATCTAAATATAGTTTACGGACATCAGCTTGTATCTAGTGTATTGTTAGAGAAGTAAGTAAGAACTCTGGTGCACCCGTTTCGGAGTTTATTTGCAAAATTTATTAATTTATAAGTATAGATTCTTTTATGATTTATCACATTCATATATTATTCCATTCATATTTCACCACGAAAACTTTTTGAAAACATCAAATTTTTAGGACAAAATGAAGCAAAGACCGTACCTATTTCTTTTTAGAACTATAATATACTCGTATGTAGACTACAAATTCCTAAATGATCATTAGTTGAACTGTAGTTTTAAAACAAGTGGAATTCTTTAAATTTTGCCAGAATTTTGAGTACTCTGATTTTACACATAAAAATAACAGACATTAACAGTAGCTCCGCCGTATTTCAGTTTTGGGAGATACATGTACTGCACAGTAAACTTCACTTATCAATATTAATCTATATAGGTAGCATTTATTATATAAAGCCCATTATGCTCAGATTGGAAGGTAGAAGACATCCAATTTTGCTGGCTTGGTGTAAAATGTGGAGGATGGAGGCTCCAAAATGGAGTATCACAGAGTGCAAGGGGTAGAGCCTCTCATGTCAATTTCAACATATTTGCCTATTTTATCTGTCATTCAGTTTAAGACCCTAAAACCTATTTAATCTGTCAATACTTCATATGTTACTGTTGGACAACAGCGCGGGATATAAATCTTACCGAAGTTAACATGTTTCCGTTGCATTCAGCATCTGTTATCTAATAAAATTTAAATCAAAAGCTCTTGATTCCAGATGGAAAGAGAGGAAGACCAAAAACAACATGGAGGAAGGACAGTGAAAAATGAGATACATGTACACGTAAGAACCATGCAGCACTCTTTGGGGATCACTGACGAGACTGGTCCAGGACAGGCGGAAGTGAAAAGACTGTTGTTTTGGGCTGATATCAGTTTATTGTTTTTCAGTTGTTTTTCATAATAACAATGCACTAAAGAATAATTTTGATGCTGTTTTTGTTTCATTCGGTTTCCGTTATCTTAAAAATTTAAATTAAAAGCAAAGCTGCTCCCCTTGTTGACATGTGAAGGCCATTAATTGTTTCACTGTTTTTCATTAACATATTTCATTTGCTATTGTCTAGTGGTCTGCACAAAATTGAATTTCGGTATAAAATACATTCATTCAGTCAACTTCAAAGGAATTATCTTTTAAGTGTTTGGATCATGTGACACTCTAACAAGTTCTCACAGAATATTGAAATTGAGATGACAGATTTAATAAGCAATTGCTAAAATTGCAATTACAAGATGTTCCACCTCTTGCATCAAATAATGACACAAAAGGTTCCATCACTTGCACTTTCTGAAACTCCACTTTGGAACCTCTATCCTCCACATTTTACATCAAGCCATTTTTGCTGAAGTTTTGCGATAAGCTTTTGTATTTGATAAAGGATCATTCTCTATAAGGCCGTTTTGCGGCCTACAATGACTTCAAATTTTCAAATAGTATTTTTTCCCTTAAAAACTGCATGAGTCAGTAGGCTAATGTTCCAATTTAATGATAAATGTTGATTGGTTAATGATATAAAAGTATTTGTTATGATATAGGGTCACAAAGTAAAGTACTATCGGTCCGTATTAGCATTAGGGTAATGGGAAAACTCAAGAGGGTTGGTGTGTTAGGTAACTCCTACACATGTCATAACCACCTTTAACCAACACCAAAATTTGCATGTAAACTTCTTATGAACATAAAAAGTGACTACCAAATTATCAACTTGGTTAAAGGTGGTTATGACATGTAAATAAAAACTTTTTGCTTCATTTTTACGATATTTGCAGGAAAAGCTAACTACTTACAATGAAGGGTATCAGCTTATGTAGATTATTTCTTATTATAAACTTCCACTTAGAGTACATGTTTCTATTGATTTACTAAGAATTAATATAAGCCATGCATGTTTACTCAAAAAAGGAAAACTTTTTACTTAAAAAATCTAAAATCAAAGGACTGAAATGACTGGTTGTTATGAAATTACGTGAATACAAGTCTCATTGAACTATCTGCTAGAAATAAAGAAATTCTTTTATAGACTATAAGACATGAATATAAGTTACTTATTATAATTATATTTTTTATAAGGATAGTTTAGTTTATCTATGCTACTTCTTTGTATTTGTATTTCCTTAGGAGTACTGCATATTTGTTATTAGTTCTAGAAATGATAAAAGCTATTTTTGTTGTAGCGGGAAGATGCATTTGCTATTTGTGTTATAAACTTAATTTTTCTATGGGTACACATGTAACTTTTATAGATAGAGAATTACTGATGGGATGGTTTCATGATAGAAATTCTCGCCTCGACCTTTTAGAAGGACACTTTTCCGTATGAGTGACATAGGATCCATGTATTTTGTTAACTGGGTGTTGAGAGGACTCAATCTATTCATCACACTTCTTTGGTAGCATCAATATAAGTTATGAGAACAGTAGTTCTGTCTTCGAAAATAAAACGCCAAGGAGGAAAGGGGTTCCTAAATGTCACGTGATTGATAATTGAATGTTGCTTTACGTCATTTTAGAATTTTTCACCCAGATAAAGAGATCATTCACTTAAGGTGAAGTGTCACAATTTTGATTTATGCATGGTTTCAGTATTGACCAACACCTACCGTGGGACAGGACCTCCTTCTTTAAGATAATATCCAAGAGACCCATGACTTTTACTTTCAATGCTGAGGACTTAGCAAAGGAACTGTCACTACCCGTGTTAAACACCTTAGTTCTTGACGCAGCACGGAAAGAGAATTTAATTCTCAGGTTTCAAGAGTGCGAAAGGAGTGTCATCTCTTACGGTCCATTTTGTACCTGGGATGTTGTAGAACTCTGTTAGTCCATGGATATACTAAAACTTCTGATATGCGTAGTGGAAGGAACTGTTGAAAATCTACTCCATTTTATGGAGTGCCGTGGGGGGGGGGGGGGCTCGACTTTTATACATACATTTGTGTATTATAGTTAAGATAGCATTTTAAATTAATTATATAGTTTTACATGCGTAATTAAATTGAATCAAATCAACTCTTACGATGTTATTTCATTTTACGTCGATATATATATTTTTAATACAACCGTTCTGAGTTTTATGTACTGACTATTAACATGTACTTGCATTAATATTTTCATCCTGTAAATTAATGAATTCTTAATTTTTTTTGCAAATGTAGACTATATTCTATAAATTACAACTTAATTTTGATTTAATCACAAACAAAATTCATTTATTGCTTTAAACATTTGATACACAACTTTTATAGTTCAAAAGAAACTTAGAAATCTCATTTCTTGCATGGGCATTTTATGCGTAAAATAGGTACCACATCTATAGAAACAATACACAAGTACAATATAAACATATATAAAATAATACTTTTAATTAAATGCTAATTAAACATTTTTCAACATCGTACGAGGTGCATTTTGTAAAGATTTACATTCAAAATATGCAAAATGTGAATGCATCAAAATTCTTGCCATAAAAAAATAACTTTAGCCTTAAATTAAACAATCTTTGCTTATAATACTTAAGTCTGATATGTTTCCGACATAAATAAACAATTTTTGATCATTAACATCTAGAAACATGCATGAAAACTTGATGTAAATAGACCTACTCTCAATTTTTCTTTACTTGACGGCCGTTTGTGATCTTTAAATCACGCGACTTAGGTGATCGATGTTGAAATACAAGCATCAAAATCATGAAATATAATGATTAAAGTTACATAAAATCACATTTTTAAGTGATTTTATCGTAGGCCGGAAAATGGCCTTATAGAGAATCATCCTTTATATTGTAGACACCCATATGATGATTCATTTTTCGTGCATAAAATTTGACATAAATTAATTTCCTAATTAGCCATATCTGAGATGTATATATTCATAATGACTGTGACACATATGTAGTCATGTACATGTAATTTAATTTTTGAGTAGAAATTACATATGTACGGATGTGCAAATCAACATTTTTAGAGCTTGTGTCGAATCCCATTTTATAGATTTATTACAATGAAATATGTCCAAATTAAATCAAATATTGTGATCAATTTATTCTGTTTTATTGTCCAGTGGGTCACCATATATCACCACAGTATGTTTAGATTACAGCAAAACAAATAAATCCCAATACACGATTTGAAAGATATCGAGCAAGCCAAACATCCATAGTGCCATCTTATTTGTTTTGTACCTTGTTTTTACTGTTTTGTACAACAAAGGTTTGCACAAATGACAAAATCTAAATTAATAACTTTGAACAAATTGCCGTTAATTTATTAGCATGAATACAATGGAAATTTAAAATGAATGAATATTTTAATAGAAAATTTTCACATATCAGAAAAGTAAATTCAGTTTACATCGTACATAATATGACTCCAAATGGTCTTAGCTTCTGATAGATGTGAAAAAGTAATCAGTATATCGATTCCCAAAAATAGTGACTTGTAAAATATACACTGTACATGTAGCATAAATAAATAAATGAAAATTAAAGTAATTGTTAACTAGTCCTGCTGATACCAATCATTATTCATTCTTGAATTCATTAGCACTCGGTTACCGGAGATTCGTTTGTTATCGGGCTTCCATGCAGGGCCAATTTCTTCACCTTAAAAAAAATGGATAAAAATTTTCCTCGTAAGTGGCATTAAATACCTTCATAAAAAATCATTTTATTACCATTAAAGACGCAGAATCACAAATACCTGTGAATATATTATACTTCTGTCGCACAGGTATTTCTCTTTCAACTCCTGGCCCAATCATTTGACCTAGTTTTCCGTGTATGCGGTTGTACTGTGACCAGTAGGTGGGGGCATTTGGATCAGTGTGCACTGTATTTCGCATGTCCTTGCCCTCCGTCTGGTCAATCCGATTGACCAGAGATGTCAGATGAAGACGATTCGCCTGTGAAAAAATAATAAGTTTTATTCTCTTTAGTGAATATATCACATAATACATAAATTACGCTGATACAGAAAAAAGAGAAAGGGTTTTCAGTATGATACAGTGATAATAGGGATCTATAATTTTTGGGGGATTTTGTTCTGTGTTCCCATCTCCATAAATGATCAATGCCCGACACATTTTTCTCCATCACCTGAAAACACACTTCAAGCATTTTAATTCTTATCGTGTTCTGAAAAAAATCAAATGAGTCATTTTTGCAAATGTGATTTTAGTAATGCAAATTATTAATCACAATTTTTTTATTGAAAGTTTTTAACAGGATTTTCAGCGAAAAGGAATTTATTTGAGAACAAGAAAGTTATTTCAGATATACTTTCAAACTACATGTATTTGCTACAATTAGCAATCTAAATTGAAAATATGATTTAACTAGAAAACTTGGTCAAAGTCATACAGAGTCCGGCAGTTGGTTTATTTCAATAATGTTGGCCTATTTATCAATAATGAGCACTGAATCCTCTATATTTGTGTTGTGAATAAAATGTCTGCATTTTATACGACCATTTTTTACGTACCGGTATACTGCCAAAAAAATCATTTAAGAATAAACTTTGACCTTTTGCATGAAGATCTAAAATATATCAAACTCTTCCTTTTATCATTGTCTACATATGTATGAAATTATTCTTTGATATTAAAACTACTAGAGTAACTGTACTACATCACATAAAAATTAGTAGCTATAGGAATATTGCATCACAATGTCATAGCAATTATCTCAAGTGTTGACCTAGAATTTTGACCATGTCATCCGAAAACCTATAAACATTCTCCATCTATACAGTACGTATGAAGCCTATAGGATAAAAAATATACACATTAACACAACATGTAAGTGTATCAACCATCATGCTAACTATTAATTTGAATTTTGACCTTTAAACAAGTGACCCCCAAACTATACGAAAAATGTCTTCTTCTATCATCTTCTACCTATGTAGGAAGTATGAAGGTTGTAGATTGAAAGGTACTCAAGTTGATGGCTTTAAAACAGACCAGGCCCGTAGCAAAGTTTTTCAAAGTTGTTGTTGTTGGTGGTGGTGGTGGTGGGGGGGGGGGGGCTCCAAATAAAAAAATGTCAAAAGAGTGCCCCACCCCTTGCGTAATACGGGCCTGCAGACAGATGGACTCGGTGATCAATAAGGGCACCTGCATCTTGATGCTCAGACTTAGGTAGAAGGCAGGATGAAATCATAATGTATCAGTGATATAATAAATTGTGTTATTTTCTCTCTTAAAATTGATACTTTTATCGCCAAATAGTTTTGTTGAGGGCTACTATACACTAGTACACAGATTCCTACACATTTACTAAAGGGGACATTACTTTAGCTTGAACCATCTGCAAAGGTTGCATAAAACATATATGTATTGAAAAAGCAGCATTAAATATGTGTCGTATGAACAAGCGGGACAACTACTGTACAGGTTATGTACTCTAGTATCTAGTCACTTACATTCTGTTGGTTTAAGAACTTCTCCCTCTGTAACTAATTAACAATATCATTGCAATTTAACTAATTAATGTTTTCTTGTATAAGTTCTGAAAGCCAATATGAAAAGAATTATTTGAAAGAAATAAAATGATTCTTGGTGCATGTATATAATAAGCTTCGTAAAAGAAAAAAAAAATAAACAGAAAAGAAATGCACTGCAAAATATGAAATTATTTTCATATTGATGTTGCTATTTGAAGCCTTTATAGGAAAATATTTAAAAATTCCTGTTTAATTTATACAGATTGTCTTGATCCTACACTGCATAATAAGCTGACTGATGATTAATTTAACAATTTGAATATGAAAAGATTCTTTCATATTTCTTTGTGAAAATTTGGACCTCTCTTCATTCAAGATATTTAAGGAGGCTGGGGGTCAACAAATTAACCATCAGATATAACTTAATTTTTTAGGTATGATATCTTAAGCTGTCAACTTTCATTTGGCAAAGAAAAATTTCATAAATTTTAGTTTTAAAATTTGATCATTTTTGTATATCTTTATATGGAGCTCTTCTTCTAAAGGAATTCTTTTTATAAAATGTTGTATTAGGAGAAGACTATCTAAGTTTCTGAACTTGTGTCCGATCCTTTTGACTTTGTCAATAAAATATGTTCAATTCAATTCTTCTAAAGGAGATCAATATAGTCTGCAAATGGCCACAACCCCCCAGCCTTCTTAAATAAATTTGATTATGTACTACATGAGGATACTTGCATAAATTACTAGTATCTGACAATTACTTTGGACCCATCGATCTCCCTAGCTGGTCCCATGACTTGAACAAACTTGAAACATTTTGTATGTAAAACTTTGAACTCTTTTTGCGATCTCGTGCCTGCCCCAGGAGCAATGGTTTGAATAACTTGATACTGCATTACATGAAAATACTTACATTCCAGTAAGTCAGACAATTTTAGCTTTGTTAACAAATGTAGGTCACTTAAGTAACTAAGGTAAACTAAAATACCAGACACATACGGGTATAATGTCCTTTTCGAAATATGTCTTGGCATACTGAGTATCAAATGTTGTGTCCTGCATGTTCTGACCAATGGTCCACTGCGATCTGTGCATAGAGGGACACAGCGGGGGTCTCCGGACAGGATTCAACTTCTTACTCCCGCTATAATACTGAAACCAATAAAGAGATATTATGGTTAACGAATGAATGAACGAGCACAGTAGTACCACTTAAAATATATCTGTTAAACAGACATTTACATATTTAAACTGGTCTTTTTAAATGAAGAGAATTTTTAGAGAAAGGGGAAGGGAGTTCACTCATTGGTATCCTCCCAGCTGTCTCTTTCCTTCCTCCCATCACATGCAACAAGTTCTTCAACCCTCACCTCCTTGAATTTGAGGTTTCAATCTCCTTTTAGCAAATATTTAAAATTTAAGATGAATTAACTATATATTCAATAAAAAATTCCTATGTTATTTTTGTGAATCTTAGAACAAAGGTTGAGAGTTCAGTATTTTACCACCTATTATGCCAAAACCTCCACAAAAATTGGCATTTATACACTTGAGCAACTGTTTGATTAATAAAGTGGGATCTTGTTCAAAAAATTGATTTGTTAGATCAAATTAAAATTATTCCAATCAAGGTCTATGGCATCAAAACTTTGGGCAATAATATATTTATAAAGGATGTCCTTGATACAATGAATTATAACCGACCTACCCGAAAGCCATCATCCATGACACTTGAATCTAATCCAAAGTCATTGAAAAAATCATATTGTCTGCAGATCACAACATGGAGAATGGCCAGGTTATTAAATTGAACAGAATTTGCTGAAACAGGCACAATCAATTTGCATTCGAAAATCAATTTTAAAAATGAGTGATGAATTCCTGCAATAACAGAGGTGTGTTGAAGAAACCAATGTCGGCTCTTCTGGTGTTTATTAGACTCTTAGTAACTTAGAATTGATCAAGCAAAACAGCCGGTAGAGTTGTATGTCTGCTATCTCCAACAGACGTACTTATTCTTTTATCTGTACTTATCTAAAAATCTCAAATAACACAACATTTAGTAATTTTATCCCTTGGTTTATCGATTTATTTAAGCTCATTTGATTTGTGTCTGAATGAATCTTGAAAACAATGGACGTTAATTTGATGGCTATCCTTCTCCTGGGTCATTTAAGAATATGTGAATAACTTGCGGAAGATATTAAAATCATTAACAAAACATATTTAAAATTCAATGTCAAATAAAACAAAAGTAATAAATGTTATAGTTTACTATTCATAATTAGTTGTGACATATGTTACATGCATGTATAAAATCCTTCAAAATTAATACATGTATTGTAATAAATATTCCAAGTTAATCCTCCATAATAACAGATAAATCTCAGTTTTAAATTTGTACTTTTAATTCATCTTTCTTCTAATTTTCGAATAGAAAAAAGAGACACCTACGTATATGTAATCAAAATTCTTTTTTCGGTATATAATTTGGCCCCACAAAATACACACAGACTTGATAAATATTGACCTGCCTTCACAGGTACATGTCTTCTTATATCAATTTATTGATTATGTATTCATGAGGTATTAAGTAAATACAGATTTTTATCCAGGTATGGGGTTACTTTTATAAAGTTTGATTGCACACCTTTGTAAACCCAAATAATGGTAAGCCACACAGAGGCGCATGCCATAAAAACGACTGCTCGGTAAGCGCAGACTAAAGTAGGAATCTGCTAATAGCTTAATGACAAAGAGTTCGAAAATGGAAGGTTTTCTTAGCATTAAAAAAGTCATTTATCTTCCAATAATATAGAGTGTTGCTATATAAGTCGAGACAATGGTATTACACGTGCAATGATAGTACAAATGTTCACAGTAAAGACTTGTAAAGGCACACACGTACACGTATATGCTTAAATTTTCAACTTTGTTTCGTTAACAACCGTGTGTATATTTCTTATATAAATATATAATATTTTTTCTTCAAAAATTGCATTTTTTGTGTTGATTTGCTTAGCATATGATAACGAATTTTTTAAGCTATCCTTTATCATTCCATATATTTCACCTTCTTTCATATGTTGTTTTTCTTTCTTTTTTGTTTTGTTTTGTTTTGTTTTATTATTATTATTTTTTTTTTTTTAAACTTAGGAAGCCTTCATCCTACCACCCACAATCCCGGCTGAACGTCTGTAGAAATCATTATTAAACATATGATAAGGTTGAATTTTTAGAAAGAAAAAATCCAAATCTTGCATGCCCTAGTGAAATAAGATAGCATGTTAAAAGAAAATTTTTAAAAAATGCTGGTGGCAGAATTACTTGAGAATGAGTTTTTATCTTCAATAAATTTCAATCGTCATATATTAACAACTGTTCTGTATATAGCATACTGGATTTACGAAACCTATCAGCACTTCATATCACGGAGCTACATCGGAATTTTAGAAGTGTCTTGTCAACAATACTTTTGATTATGTATACAATCAAATAAATTCAAAATAACATGTCGGGACATTGCTAGGAGAATTTGCAATCTTGATTTGTTTAAAATCCCCATAGATAAAAACTTCAAGGGTAAAAAGACATGAATAAGTTTAAACCACTTTTAAATTTCACAACTATTTCCTTTCAGACATAGTTTAAGACATTTGTGGTTAATTGCATTAAATTATTTTTTTTGTACATTTTTACAAAATGGATATTGATATTCAACGGGGTTTTATTTAATAAAAATATATAATATTTAAATTGGGTTGAATCAACCGAAAAAAGTTTTTTTGTTTCGTTTTTGTTGTTTTTTTTTTTTTGTTGTTTTTTTTTTGTTTTGTTTTGTTTTGTATTTTTTTTTTTTTTTTTTTTTTTTTTTTTTTACAATTTTGATGAAAATTAAAAAAAGAAAAAAAGAGGAGAAAATGGTGACATAATGATCAAATTTTGTTTACTCTCACCAATAAATTGTCAATATGTAGAGTTCGGGAGATGTTAAAAATATCAGTGGTTACTAAGGCAGCTAATATTGGAAAGGAAAGGGGTAGACAAACAATGGACAACGATAAACAAATGTTTGGGGGTTTTTTTCTGTGAAAAAAAAATTCTTAGATGAACCTAGGATTTCTGACTAAATTAATGGGCCATATTGGACAAAGTAAAAATTAAAATGTATACTAATTTATTACGTAATTAATGTTCTCACCTGTTTTGTAGTAGTCTTGAATTCCTCTACAGGTGAGTACGGGGGTTTTGTAAGTGTCAATGTAGATTTGTGCATTGCACGTACCCCCCTGCCATATTGATAGGGGGCAGTTTTAGTCCTATCATTATAAGGCAATGAAGAAATCACAGGATAAATACATCCATCTTCCGTTAAAATTGTACACGCAGTTTTTCCCTGTCCGTATTTCACATAGGGACTTGGTCCTGGACCCTTCAACATTGTAAACTTTTCTTTTTCCCTCTCCCCCTTCCTTACATTCTTCCAGTTTTACGAACACAACCGAATACAAGATCGGATTAAAACTTATTTCCACTGATAAGCTCCATTGAACTTTCGGTATTGATTACTATGCAAGTGTCAAATTATTTACCATTCAACCATGCTGAAAAGTGCCAGATTACCCGAGGAAACTTTGAGACGATATAGCTCAAACTTAATTGGGTCTTGTTTTTTAAACGCACAGATCAAATTATCACGTGTACGCTGTATATTCTGTATACACCTTATATGTCAAGTCTCTATCAAAGAAAAATAATGGTATAATTTTATCTGCAGAAAAGGATTACATTTTAATCAATATATGAAAATTAAGTCTAACGATTTGTTTATGTGGAAGTATTTAAATACCGTCACCAAGCACTTGTCGTCAGCTGAACAATCCAGCTAATCCATAAAATAGTTACTGGAAGGCCAAAACTCATTTTAAAACCATTTAAATACCAAAGACAAACTTTTCCCTTTCAAACCTGGTTTTTAAGTAGTCTGTATAGGTTTTGTGTATTTTGAACACACGATTGTTTCTGAGATTTCAATAGCTGAGCAAAATAATTGCATATTAATCTCTGCTAGGATACTTGAAAATAAAAAGGAAACAGATAATTTCCCTCTGCCGAGAGTAATAACAGGAAACAGCCTCGATAACCCCCTCCCCCACCCTATCCCACTCCCCAAATACTAAAATCATGCAAGCAAAGCGGGGTGAAGTACATATCACATAAAATTTTGAACCTATATCTACAGAGGTAGGTTTTTTTTTACTTATCGAATGTGATCAAAAAGTCTCGGCTGAAGTAAGTGTGGACTAAAAAAGGTTGGGGTGAGGGTGCGGGGGGTAAACGACTGAACAAACGAACGATAAGATTACCAAGTTTAGATACCGGTATATATTAGAAAATATTGAGCCGAACATCATAGGTTGAAGACAAAGTCTGTCAACATGTTTTCAATAATAAAGGTGGTACTGTGAAAAATCTCCCTTCATCCAATTCTTGATTTCATCAATATCTATGCATTTTCATGATTTTCTCGGGGAAAATATGGTTCTGATGTTTCTTGAACATAAAAAATATATATACACTAAATACTAGTCCTCACACAAGATGAAACTATATATATACTATAAAATGCTGGGAGTGTCTGTATTTACATAAGGACTGTTCACAACTATTGAGTAATCGATTATAAATCTGCTTTTTAATCATGTTTTAAATTTTGATTTTGATGTCTTTTAAAAATACGTACTTGGACTTAATCCATGAATTTATAGAGCATGCTTTACATTTTAAGGTTAAAAATGCATCAATTTAACCTTACCTATAACAATCTAGATTGCTAGCGATAAATTTAAATTGATAAATTTTAAACTGTTAATGTAACACATGTCAGATCCAGACAAGCGTGAAATATGCAAAGATATGATTCAATAATGTTTTTGATTAAAAAAAAATTAAAAACAAAACAAAGATAAAAATCAAACAATAAAAACAATTTTGATATACTAGTATCAAACATTTACTTTCTGATATCATATACTCGATTTTATTGAAACTAGAAAAACATTTTGAGATACTAGAAATTCGAGTTTTTGCGATAAATGAATAATTTTTCTTTTATTTAACATTTTTAAATTTAAAAAAAAAAAAGTTCTCGAAATTACTAAAATCATACACTTTCTTTATACCCCAATAGATATGCATTTACATGTGAAGTGATAACATAACATAGTCATTCTATAGAAATAAATCAATCAGTTGAGGAACTTTTTATCAGTTGTTTCTATTTAACTTCCCCGTGAACCCAACCCTACCCAATAAATCAAATGCATAGTTTAGAGAAAAATCAATGTGCACTAGTTTCCTTCATCGTTTACTAGTATTCTGAACAGGAATGAAATATCGAGTCTGATGTTACTTCATCTAAAATTTAAATTGTTTTTCTATTCACGGATATTTATACATGTGCATGTAGATGATCTATGACGATTTATATACAGGAGAGTTGTCAAATGCAAGTTCACCATATATAAGCACGGTGAAATAAACAATCAATCAAACAAACAAAACAAAACAAAAAAGAAATTGTTAAGTAGAATCATACATACATGTAGTTCTATATAAAATGAATCTTTTTTTAGCTCATAAAATTCGACAAAACTCTAGCAAAATAATATTCAACATATCAAGGCCACTTGTGACAACAACCAAACAAACAAGATGTGTTTGTGAAACACTGATGTGCCCGTATGGCAACTTATAGCGAAGGTTAAACTTTCTCAGAAGCAAATCGAATATGTTGGTATCCAAAGTAAGGTCTTGTCCCGAGGAGTATACCTGTGAAATATGAAAGCCCCAGCAGCAACAATTGAATAGATACGGAGATGGTAAAAGATTTTCAAAAGTAAGTCAAACATCAAGGTAAAATGGTCAAAATTAATGGTACCCGAGGAAAAGCCTTCTCACAAGAAATACACAGAGAAATATGAAAGCCCTAGCACCAAACGTTCGAAAGTTATGGCCAAGGTTAAAGTTGTTCAAAAATAGGTCAAACTCCTAGGTTAAGGTCAAAGGTCAAAATTGTTGGTATCCAAGGATAGGTCTTGTCACAAGGATTACATATGTGAAGAATGAAAGCCCTAATACCAACCGTTCAAAAATTATGACCAAGGTTAAAGTTGTTCAAAAGTAGGTCAAACTCTTAGGTTAAGGTCAAAGGGTCAAAATTGTTGGTATCCAAGGGTAGGTCTTGTCACAAGGATTACATATGTGAGGAATGAAAGCCCTAACACCAACCATTCAAAAATTATGGCCAAGGTTAAAGTTTTTCAAAAGTAGGTCAAACTGTTAAGGTCAAAGGGTCAAAATTGTTGGTATCCAAGGGTAGGTCTTGTCACAAGGATTACATATGTGAAGAATGAAAGCCCTAATACCAACCGTTCAAAAATTATGACCAAGGTTAAAGTTGTTCAAAAGTAGGTCAAACTCTTAGGTTAAGGTCAAAGGGTCAAAATTGTTGGTATCCAAGGGTAGGTCTTGTCACAAGGATTACATATGTGAGGAATGAAAGCCCTAACACCAACCGTTCAAAAATTATGGCCAAGGTTAAAGTTTTTCAAAAGTAGGTCAAACTCCTAGGTTAATTAATATATTAATATATACCATTTGACCCAAATTCGGAAAAATAAATCGGCGTAAAAATAATCCAGACTTATAATTTTATGTTTAAGATGTACAATCAAAAGGCAAACCAATATACATATGTACATAAAGCCATAAATACCCCCCCCCCCCCCCCCAACTATAAGAAAATTGAGTTATTCCCCTTTTTATGATGAAATTTAGGTCACTGACTGGTAAAAGAAAGATAACTCTTGCATATCTACTTGTCAGTCAAAGATTGCAATACGACAAATAGCGGTTTATACATCTGATGAGTAAGTTTTTAGTTCTCCTTTCCCTCAAATACCAATATCTGCAGCTACAGATTCTGTGGCAGGTTAGCTGTTTACAGGTGACAACTTGTACTGGGATGGAAAACTAGTTCCAGCATTTCTTGGAGTAAAGATTTTTTTTTTTGGTTTTGTTAACCAAAATTTAAAACCCTGTACTAGTTGCATGTTTGATAGATGATGCATTTTGTGTTCGGCTGTGAGCCATCTCCATTTATATAAACAAAAGGATCTTGTTCAAGATCCATAGTTTCCAAAGATACATATTTACTCAATTCACCATGCTGTAATGCTTTCATTACTTTTGGAATCAGTTTAGATTTCTAGTCAACTCTTCCATAACATACATTTTATCAAATTAGCCTCAAATCTTGATCTTTAATGTCAAACGTAATTTGAGATCTTTACAATGCTTGGTGGACAAAAAAGGTCACTTTCAATGTTATTATGAACAAAACTGCCAAATTTGAACTGTAAACATGTTTACTGTTAAGATGATAGCTATTATTGAAAAAATGCTAAAACAATATCCAGGACACTCCTCTTACTAACAATGATTTATTTAACAACAATTGTACAATTAAGGAAAAGGCCTGTAGTCCAGGTGATGAGTTTCAAAACTATAGAAAACCAAAGTAACTAGTATACAACTAAAAAAATAAGTTACATTTATCACATTTTCATTATTAGGGTCTGCTGGGTAAACTCTGTCTAGTATAAGTTAGTGCATTTTATCCAATGTAGCAACAAATGTTCGTATCTGCATTGGCTGTAGAGAGATGGTGCTTGCGGAGCTGGAAATCGCTGTATTTAACAACTTCTCCTTGGTGAGTAACTCTTCTTTAGTGTCTGCAAAATCACATTACTCATGATATCAAAATCTCATAGCATTGAGGTATCTTGAAAATCAGAAGTAGCAAACACACAGAGGACCAAGAATATAGAGTTTGGACAAGCACACAGAAAGTAAGCTATATACCTGGTATGTAAGCCCATGGTAATCTATTTAGTTCTGCCAATGGAAGGTTGGCTCCCAAAGTAAGTTCCTTCATTGTAACAATTTTAAATGTAGTAAAATCAGTCTGAAATAAAAAAAAAAAAAAGGTATCATGAAGAAAAGGAAAACTTCACAGGCAAACAAATATTCAAAACTTCTTCTACTGGTGGTAAACACATAGCTATTAAAGTCATATATGGCATATTTTTTTTTATAAGTTTGAACTAACTAAAATTAAAAAAAATCCTTCTATATGTTTTATTACTTTGTATAAAGATAGGACTTTCCTGTAAATTACACAATTTAAATCAATAATGTTTCGAAGATATTAGAAATTTAAAACAATAATCAATTTATTTACTGACTCCGCATTTAAATAATAGACACAAATTTGAATTTGAACATAAATAACATACAGTCAAACCTCGTTATCTTGAACTCAATGGGACCGAAAATAAACTTCGAGATATCCGAGAGTTCAAGATATTGGGGGTAAAATACTTATAATATTAATTGCTTGGGACTTCCAAATCACTTCGACATATCCATGGTATTCGAGATATCCGTGTTCGAGATACTAAAGTTCAACTGTATATCACGTTTATCTTCACTCAATATTGTATTTTTATTTTTTAGCTCAGATACGCCATATATATAGCTTTAATATTTGATTTCTTAGTATCCCCCCACACCCATCCCTGCTTCATCATTATATCAGAGACAGTGACTGTTTTACTTACAAAT